ATTGATAAACGCAGAAGAAATACTAACAACAATTACATTGTATTTACTATTAATTATTAATTTGCGAATATAAAACTTAACAATATCGCGATAAAAAGTTATTAATATATTTAAAACAGCACTTTCATTGCGTTCAAAATAACTCAATAATTTCATTATATCAAAATTCCCTCCGCCTCGTAGTACGCTGGTTAGTATCCGATACGAAAGAAGAACAATCTTCATAGTGGAGAGCGAACTTAATATATTCTGATTCTACGTCAAATTCACAAGATCCATTCGCAAAGAAAGGTTAAGCAATCCGAGTGATTTTGTTACAGGTCTGCGGTGTGAATCCCGAATCTTTCAAATTACTTACGATAGTAATAATTTGGGTAGCACGTTAATTACAATTACCATTTTTATCACATCTTTAATATAATATTAAAATTTGCAGGAAAATATGTTCTGCCACATTACTAAAAATCATTTCTCATTAAAAATAAACGGATAAAATAATTTCCTTGTGGAATTGTGGTTACGAAGGAATATATTCAATAATAATAAAATACATAAAGATTATGCATTTCGCGGGTTTCCTCCGTGTCCAGATCCATTCTTGAGATAAGTATCAGGCTGCTCCTGGAGTGCAAGGTTCACGAAACGTTGGCATCTAAAGAATGGATCTGAACACGGAGGAAATCCGCGAAACGCATAACCTTTATACAAAAATAATATTTACCGCAAGGTTGCTCCACCGATGCCCGATGTCTCTCCCAGGCCTCCTCCTCTTCTCAGAATTGGGTTGACATCCTCTCGCACAGGACACTCGCGTAAAACACTCGCGATTAATATACACTATAATCGCGCGCGGACTATAACTTAAGTCCGATAACTTGAACGGCACTCCCGAAGCAAACGCGCGGCGCGACGAACCGGCTGCGGTTCGTTCACTTTTAATTAAATCGGCGGACGAGGGTACGTTAGCTTCCCCGTTGGATTTTTACACGAAGAGAACGATTTTACTCGATATCTAAAAATTTATCTAGATATATCATTCAGATAGATCCCAAAATTTTTAGATACTTGAGAAAAATCGTTCTTTTCGTGTAAATATCCTCTGGGTACTGAGCCCTCCCACCACGTCAAGGTCGTACCCGTGAGAGGGAAGATAATCTGAAAAATGTAATATATAGCTATTATCTACATTAATTTACAATTACTATGCAATCGGTTAATTTTTAGAAACGAATATCAAACACATGTCTGCAATTCGTTATCATTGCGAAATAAATTCAGAGCAGATAAAGGGTTGAATCTTTTATTTATAGATGATGTCTATAAGATATGATTAGAATCAATGAAATGGGCTAGAGATTAATAAAAAAGAGAAATGTTTCTTTTATTATCGATAAATAGTTTCAAAGTTACGTTTAATTTTTAAACGGATCGAATAACCAAAGGTGCACAAAAACACAAAATTAAGTTATTAAACTATATTAATTTTGATTGCAGGAATTGCATGAGAGTATTCATATTAATATTGCTTTTTTATGACTTGTGTGATACCGTTCGTACAGACGAGTAGCCGTGTCGCATGCCGCTCTTCTTTTTGAAACATATAATAATCGCAGAAAATGCTAGATATAATACGAAAAGTATTTTTTGAATATTTACATAATACGATTACTAGTATGATTAATTATTCATAATGCACAGCGTTTCGTATCATATTCTTTGCGATAAGATTTCAAAAAGTAATGTGAAAAAGAGCCGCACGCGACACGACTACCTGCTTGTACGAACGTTGGTAAGAGAAGGACTGCGCGGTAACTACGCGTATAAACATGACGCGCCGCTTCGTGCCACCCCTTGCCGTCTCCACTCCAAGGCTGCGCGCGCCAACCGTCTAACTGTCGAAATATTAATGCATATTACGAAGTAAAATAATATATTCTTTGCATTTTTAATGTTCTCCGATTAATGAAACAATTTCTTATATATATCTAGTTTTAGCGACACGATTTACAATTAAATAAAGATTAATAATATGTCATACATCCTTTAAATAAAGATAAATGCAAAATTTATTTTAAATTATGAAACAATTTCGACTAAATAGAATAATACGTATAAATAGCATGCACATGTATTTAGAGATATGTAATTTAAATATAATTTATCTATTACACTTTTCTCGTATCATAAGAATCCGGAGTAACACGACAATGACAGAAATATACGATTCAAAGCATTAATAAAAAGTCAGAATTTGAAATATCTAACAATAAGTATCTCATTTTTATACCGTATATGTGAGAACACATGGAATATCTAAAATATTCATGAGCTGTGTATATGTGTAATGAATCTAAGAAATTGAGCAAAAACCGTGCAATAAAATCTATTAATCCTTAGTACACACCTTAGTTTTAGGCAACCTTACGTAATTCGCGTTCCTAATGAAGATCTAATTTTCATTAATTAATGCAACACCCGGAAAACTCGTAAAACGCGTCCGTCCCCCTCCGAGGTCGCCGGGCGAATACCGAAGTAATGACGTAGTCGTTATTGTCGCCGCGCGTACGTTCCCCCACTCCTTGCTGTTCGCCTCGCGCCGTTTAGATCCTATCCTACTATTGCGAATGAAAAATATTCACGGTTTATTCATATTTTACATGATTTTGACAAAAGGGTATTGTCGTACATTTTGCGCTTTGCTTTGTGGCATCACTGGCACTAGTTTAATCCTATATTATTTGCGCGGTTCTTTTTATATATGTAATTGATAATTATTCGCATGTGTGAGGTATTTTTGATTCTAACGGTACATTATGTCTCAATTTTCATTATACTTTTAAAATATTTTTAATGATTCATACTTAAATAAAGGTTGATAATATTCTATACATCCTTTACAAAGATATATGCACATTTTCTTATTATTACGAAACAATTTGCGCTCAATACAACTTTAGTTAAAAGTATTAAATATCTTGTTAGTCATTATTTAATTTTTCAGCTAAAAAATTAATTTATGACACTACAGTTGCTGCATATTATTCTGTGTTTCAAAAATTCTTTAAACTTACGTATAATGCCGACCATGGCTCAGTAAAATAACTGTTATGACTTATTTAAAATAAAAAATATAAAATAAGTTTCAGAAACTTATTTAAAATATAAAATCATAGGAATCGGTAAAAAAAACTGATACAACTTATTTAAAATAACAAATATAAAATAGATTCGGGAAACTTATTTAAAATATTAAATAAGAAATAAGTTAGAAGTAGTTTTATTTTTAAGTTAGAAGTGTTGTTATTTAAAATAATGAATACGAAATAACTCTTTTATTTTAGAATAAGACGTGAATGATTCTGTTATTCACGTCTTATTCTAAAATAAAAGAGTTATACTCTAGTAATTATGTTTGGTAAAAATAAAATTAAAATTTGCATAAAAAAACATAACTTCGTAATTTTATAAGATATTATAAGACAAAATTCACTGAATTAAGTTGTTTCAATTTTCAATTTCGTTTATTAAAATAAAAAATATTAAATAAATTCTAAAAACTTATTTAAAACATTAAATATGTTTACTATGTAATAAGTTAGGTATATAGTTATTTAAAATAATAAATACTATAATCCGCCCTTTAACCCTAGCAATTTAATAAATAACTCTTTTATCTTAAAATAAAACGTGAATGATAGAATTCAGCAATTTAAATATTATAAAAAAATAGCAAGACGTCAATCTTTTATTAAAAATATATTGTGTAAGCTGCATGGATTTTGTATAACATAAAATTCCCAGGAAAAATGTTTCATATATAATTACATATAATTATATATAATTATGTACAAAATATATATAATATTTTTTTCCGGGTTATTATAAACTGATAATCACTTATTGTAACACAATTAAACTAAGATAGTCATGAGCTGCGTGAATACGTAAAGAATTTCAGAAATAAAGCAAAAACCATGCAATAAAGCCTGTTGATCGGAGAACATTAAAAATATAAAGAATATATTATTTTATTTATTCGTAATATTCGTTATATTATTTCGACAATTAGACGGTTGGCGCGCGGCCTTGGGGAGGGGATGGTACGGGGTGGCACGGAGCGGAAGCGGCGGCCGGGGCGTCACGTTTACGCGTAGTTACCGCGCAGTCATTTCATTCCCGAGGCTCGTACAGGCAGGTAGCTGTACCGCGTGCCGCTCTTCACATTTCTTTTTGAAATGTAATCGCGATAAATACATAATACGAATCGTCGCACTTTAGATTCCAAAAATTTATATAAAATATTTAATAAGAAAAGTCAGAAAAAGTTTTTTTAGCCCTTAAAATTCAACAACTTTTATTTACGTATGTAGAAGATGCGAAATAAAAATTTTTTCATTCAAAGATCCATTAAACTATCCCTCCTGTGGATGATCGGCACGCTTCTGTTCTGTTCTTTAGTACAGAGACGAATCACATTTACTTTTGACGATACGATTTTATCGATAGTGTCAGAAAGTGCATATATCACGTAATTCCCAAACTAAAAATGGATATATTGGCGGTAGTGTACGGGCGACTTCGACGGTAACAGAAAAAAGGCCAGCATGGTCTCTCTCAGGTTTCTCCTTTGCTTTTGTCCTTTGTCGGTACAGTCGGAATTTCATAATTCGCTTTCTGATCATTTTTTCACTAAAGTCGATCTGTTTTATTCACAGATTGCACGAGTCCTCCGTTTTATTCGAAGTTTCGGCCGATTATCGCGCGGTGCAGCACCGCCAACGCGGTGCACAGGCCGGCGCAGAGCTCAGGACGGAAGAACATATGTTTAGCCAGTGGCGCATGCGTGGTCACCGCTTCCGCGACGTACCTAGCCATCTTTCCAGTCAAGCAAAAGTGATTGTTTTCAGTCTTAGTCTTATTTAACTGAACTTTTATTAATGTCAGAGCCACAGTCCGCGCTGTTATTACGGAAACAATTAGCAGGTATAATGTGAGCGCGGTGCGAGTGTTAAGTGTGTTTGTCGGAAGCGTGAAACGCGGCCGAACGAGAAATCGAAGTCGGTGTGACTCGCGCTTTCCAAAGGACTCCTTGCCGTCGTGCCTCGCAGGCCCGACGTTACTTCTCCGACGGCTTCGCGCTCGTCCTCGCCGTAAACCATCGTGCTGTGAATCCACGGTCACATTCGCCGCTCGTCACGTCGTCCTCGCCGGCTCGCTACGACCGCGCGCACGGGGCGTGAAAATCAATACGCTCACCCGCGGAGAGTGTGTATGCTGCGCCGTGAATAACGTTAACCTAAGCGGCGGCGTAACGTCGCCCTCGTCGTCCACGGCACGCCGCGATCTTCAAAGTTCGACTTGTCCTCCCTGTTCCCTTCCCCTCCGCCCTGTTTCCCCCTGTTTCGCCGACTAGCCGGTTCGTCGCGTGCGATGTTTCTTGCGCGGCCACGACGAGGACGAGGAGGACGAGGACGACGTCGACGTCGACGTCGATGTCGAGAGCGAAGGCCGCTCTCTTCTCTCGTGCCCGAAAATAATTGCAAGCCTCGTTATTTATAGCGTATGCGCGTCACTGCGGTCGCGCACATTTCTCCTCGTGAGCGACGGAAAAAAACATCGAGCGGAGAAGCGAGAACGAGAGAGAATAAAATAAAAATAAAAATAAAAAAAAAGTGGGAGACACAGTATAGAGATAGGGACGAGCACGAGAGCGAGCGAGCGAGCGAGAAAGCCGGAGAGAGTGCGAGGGAAAGAAAGAGAAAGAAGGAGGGAATGAAAGAGCAAGCAAAAGCGCGCCGTGCAACGACCATCGAAGGTCAGCCGCCTTCGGGCCATGCTCCCCTGTTCCAGACGAGATCGACGCCACGAAAAATGCTTCTCGGAGAGTTTCGCCTCTCTTTGTGCGACGTAGAACGGAGTCGTACTGCGTGCGCGCGCGAGAGAAAGAGAGAGTGAGAGACGGAGAAAGAGAAAGAGAGAACACCGTCGCGTCAGTAACCTCGTGCTTCGTCTCCTTCGCGCGGAGCACGTCGCGCTGACTCACCGCGCGGTTACCGTGTGGCGGCGATCTCGCACGGGCGAACTTAACCTATACGCCGCGCGTCCCGTCCTGGACACGCTGGACAGGCCGCTCGACGTGTCCAGTGCTGGCGAGATTCGCGGGAGCGTAAACATCCGCGTTCACGCGTACACATGATTGTCATCACGAATCACGCTCGGAGACGTTGCTCTTTTCCCTTTTTTTATGCTTTAGTACCTGGTAGGGAACATAACCTAGACACTTCAATGTTCTCCTCTGTAATCTGTGTCTGCATTATATTTATCTGGCAGTATTGTCACCGTCTTGATTATTTATGTCCTTCTCGAGACCTAAAAATGTTTTTTTGAATTTTTTTTCTCACTCTCGAGTAGATGTTAAGTAATAGTGAGTTTAAAGAATGATCCTTTCATGCAAGATCGACCTTGGAAAAACTGAATTTATTGTTCTTCCGAATACACACAAACACACACACACACAGACACAATATGAAACGTATTTTAGAAGATAATTTTATAGATCATCTTTAGAACAAATTGTAACTTTTTGGTGTCTCACTTGATTTATAATCTTTAACATATATGTAGATTTTTATCAGGTATTAGCTTATTTGCTTAATTTTTTCTCTTAATTATATCATTTGTTAAATTCTTTGCTAGAATTTAAAAGTTTCTTTATATATTCAAACTTAGTTCTTTTGATTTTTTTAGAACGTAAAATATCTTGGATTATTATAAAGTACAATTTACAATTGATACTTGTTAACATCATATTCACTTACCTTGTATGAATATTTTCTATATTTATGGTAATAATTTGTTTAATATTTTCAGGTACATCTTTTATTCTTAGATACTTTAGGTATAATTTGAGTAATCGTAAGACTTATGAAATGGAAGCTGTGCAATTGCCCACTGTAGCAATTGCCCACTGCCAATCACAGCGACTTCTGCATAAGGAGTTTAGGATTAGTTTTTTTTTTGAAGTGCTGTGATTGGCTGTGCGCAATTGAACCGTGGGCAATTGCCATACACTCCTATGAAATGATTTGTAGTAATATTTTTTTTCTCTTACAGAATTAAATAAAAACCCAGTAGAAGGGTTTTCTGCAGGCCTCATAGACGACAATGACATATATCGGTGGGAAGTACTCATTATTGGACCTCCGGATACATTATACGAAGGTGGTTTCTTCAAAGCACATTTACAGTTTCCAAAAGAATACCCACTTAGGCCACCAAGAATGAAATTTATAACCGAAATATGGCATCCAAATATCGACAAAAATGGAGATGTGTGTATATCTATATTACATGAACCCGGTGATGACAAATGGGGATATGAGAAAGCTTCCGAGCGGTGGTTACCAGTTCACACAGTCGAAACTATTCTGATAAGTGTTATTAGCATGCTCGCAGATCCTAATGATGAAAGCCCTGCTAATGTGGATGCCGCCGTAAGTATATAGAAAATATCATATGTAATTTTTTTTCTTTTTGTAAAAAAATAATCTTAATTTATTCTCTTTCTCTTACTGTAGAAAGAGTGGAGAGAAAGTTACACGGAATTTAAGCGAAAGGTGGCGAGGTGCGTGAGAAAGAGCCAAGAGGAGTGTTTGTAGGGGATGAACAAATATTCAAATGGAAAGACTTATTTAATTCTGGTAAGTTGCCAAAATAATTATTGAATAATTAATGAGTAAAATATTAAGTAATTATTAAATAAATAATTAATAATTATTGAATAAATTATTTTATATCTATTATTTATGACAAGGATAATATTAACCATGTTAAATAAGAATTTTCTTGGATTGTACATGTGAAAACAATAGGAAATAGGAAAATGACAACAAATATATATGTACATGTATGTATATGTATATACAAATTTATATCGAATTATTTAAGCATTAAAGATCTATTTTCGATCGTTATGGGCTTTTATTTCCTATTTTCTATTAACAATGTTGTTTGGATGATATATATATGTATAATATATGTGTGTGTGTAATATATTAACGTAGGGAAGCCGTAAGCACTGTAAGAAAGATACCGACGCTCAGCATAAAGCTAACGGATAACAGTGCCACTAAAAACGGAAAAAGCCTGACCTATCCTTATGCAGAGAGAGAAAGAGAGAGAGCAAGACAGAGCGTGTGTACGAGAGAAAAACTCACACGCCGCTCTATCATGTTTATTAAATCGCCGCCACCAACGTACGATCCGAATCCATCGAGATGGAGAACAGAGATACACACGCAATTCACCTTTTACATAATAAACAGCTAAAAAAAATTAATTTACACGTATACATAAAAATATCATCTCTGTATGATTATTACCTTAATATTAATAGTTCTTATAAAAACTTAACTCTCCCCTGCCCCTCCTATGCTCAAGAATGATCCTGAGCCCCTTTGGAAGAAACCTTGTAATTTAAAATATGTTTACGTTTATCTCAATAATAATTCCTTAGTGTGTCGTTTCGTATTTTCTTACTTTCATAAATATATATATGTATAAATAAATTTTTTTATAAAATCGAAGACGGGACACATGTAACAATCTTGTAAAATGTTTATCGAGAATGGACTACATACGACATGGTATGACATTGCGGTGAGAATAATTAATGCCGTGCGTACACGCGGTAAATGTAAAATATATATTAAATTTTCATCGAACCGTAAGTTGCCAAAATAATTAATTCTAATTCAAGTGATAATAATGATAATATTATTGTTAATGTATCAATAATTACAGTTAGTGCTCGTAACGTAATATATATGTATATGATATGGTATTCACTCTTAAACTCGTGTGCAGAGTAACGGCGCTTTCCTTACGAAGTAAACTTGCGGTTCTTTATCATCATTACAATGAAATTAAAATAATTCTTTCCTCTTAGGAAATTCGTTCAACTTAGTTAAAATTCGTATAATTCTTTGATCTGGTTATACATTATTTTATATTGTCAATTAAATCTTCAGACATTGAAACAACGTCTATGTTACATTACACCTGCTCTTTTCTCATCCATTTCATTAATTATTTATCACATATTTTCTTATCAGAACATATAAATAATGGTTGTGTTCAAGCTGTTATTATGTTCGTCGAGCCACTGAATGTGATTGATTGGATCTATAAGTATCTAATCATGTTCAATTACTTATCGAGCAAGCTAGTTTGCTTTGTCAGCTTGAACACGCCCACTGACACAAGTAAAATATGTCAATTTTTATTACATTACATTTTTATTTCCATCATTTTTATTCTTTATATTTATTTAAAACGACTTTCATTACATAGACAAACATTTTTGCAAAATAAATAGCTTTCTGCAGTTTTTAGATTACAATGAGCATAATATACATGTATATTTACGTGATATGAGTAATAATAATTTATTTATTACTTACATTTGCTAGATCTTAATGAATTTTTTACTAAATTGAATGAAAAATTATTGTTAATAATCGTAGGGTGCTGAGAAGCATGTAAAAATATCGTATTCTCCCTAATCGTTTGAATTTCAAACAGTTACGTAGATTCAAATATTCGAGGTTGCGCGCCAAAGCGTTATCGCGCGCTCTACCGGCTGCCATGACAGTTTTGGCGGTGTATTACCGCGCATTCGGTTCGTTGACGCGGAGTGTTGATCGCGATCTTTCCGCAATTATTCGTGAATTTTACCCGTTAAATCTGCCTGAGTAGTACCTCTTTTCGTCGGAAATGCCGATTAAAGTGACGAATGATCGCTGGGACGTGTTGGTTTTCGTAGATCTTTGTTGTCGTCGTCATTTCGTCACCCGTCGGAACTACATCTAAGCTCGAATTAGTTCGAAACCGTTGTAATTCCAGTGAGTACCGATGTAGTCACGCGAAAGTGATCCTTAGGTTTTTCGAGGTAAAATGCACGTTTAATTCGTGAATTTTACCCGTTAAATCTGCTTGAGTAGTGTCTCTTTTTGTCGGAAACGCCGATTAAAGTGATGAGTGATCGTCGGGACGTGTCGGTTTTCGCAGATCCTTGTTATCGTCGCCATTTCGTCAACCGCGGCCGGAGCTACGTCTAAGTTCGAAACCGTTGTAGTTCTAGTCTAGTAAGTACAAATTCCGGTGTCGTGGTCACGTGTAAGTGATCCTTCAGTTTTCTCGAAGTAAAGTGCACGTTTAATTCGTGAATTTTACCCGTTAAATATGTCTGAGTAGTATCTCTTTTTGTCGGAAACGCCGATTAAAGTGATGAGTGATCGCCAGGACGCGTCGGTTTTTACAGTTCCTTGTTATCGTCGCCATTTCGTTAACCGCGGCCGGAGCTACGTCTCAGTTCGAAACCGTTGTGGTTCTAGTAAGTACAAATTCCAGTGTCGTCACGCGTATGTGATCCTTAGGTTTGCTCGAGATAAAGTACGCGTTTAATGTATCTTTCATTAGACGTAGCATGTCTAGGCTTATAATTATGTCACGCATGTATACTACGTCGCGTTTAACCGAAAATTCACTGCTAGGGCCCAGCTCCACAACTCACGGTTGACTCTTAATAACCGAGGTTCAACTTATTCAGTGTCTCTATTCTAGAATTGGAAAGAGACGAGAAACAAATTGAACCTCGGTTAAGAGTTAACCGTGAGTTGTGGAACTGGACCTAAGTACAATATATATTTTGCATCGATGAATGATAAACGACGAATGTGCCATAGATCCGTTTTAGATGAAGTCTATCACATTATCATAGCATTTTGATTTACTACAATAATTGTGTGGCGTCAGTAATGTGAACGAAAATTCCGTCAAGTGAACTTCTGGCAGAAATAAAGATTGGATCGCGTAAGTTGATTATCAGAAGAGATCAGTGATAGAAGTGACATAAATGAAGCTTCTAGGAGAGAAAAATTGAGAAAAATTGAGATAATAAAACGTAAAAGCGTAAACGTTTTTTTACGTTTCATCGTCTCAATTTTCACCTCTTGAAAACTTCGTTTATGCTTCTGTTACTCTTTCCTTACATTGATTTACGCTCCAATTTTTATTTTTGCCAGACTCCAACGACTCACAAGATAATATGAAGTATTTTATGTTGCGTCGATACTGAGAACATAAATGCGACTTTAGTAATAGTAGATATATATCTCGCGTTGATAATGTAGTATGCCAACAAATATAAAATAAATTTACCATCGTTTTTAGCATAGTTATAAATATTTGATCAATTGATTATATATGCACAAGTTAATTAAAACATGCAGTATTTGCACAGTAATTGGCCTTATTTACATATGTAATAATTAGTAGTATTTGTAATTTTTTAGTGATTGTCATTTTTTTTACTTTATCTGCAATTATGGTTTATGATTGTTCTGCAAACTAGAATCGTTGTAGTTCGCTGTAGTAATGTTGTGATCGCCAAGTTTATAAAATAATATACACGAAATAATTAAATATGCAGTAGTAATTAGTAATATTTAAATTATAATTAATGCTGTGGTCACTACGATTATAATTAACGTAGCTTTTTTTAATTGTATTCATATGGTAATTTTAAATTGAGGATAAATAACTCACAAGAATGAATGTAGTATTGGTAGTACTAATTTCAAGCTAAAATATATGTATAAATAATTATAATACATATATATTTATAATCATTATCGAATTTTGATATTTTAAGATTTTTAATTTAGCAATCTACAATATATCGAAAGAGATGTGACTTGCTACGTCCAATGAAAAATCCGCTATCAGGCATACTTAATAATGATTGATTGCAATTATGTGCGCAATACGCGTCGCGAAGCAAAGTGCATTTTATATTTGTAGTTTGCGTGTTATAACATGGTGAATTCGTGATTGTCTTGCTTTTTCGAAAATAAAATACGAAGTGCATTAACTTGCGGTGTTCGTTCGATGATGTGCATAATTAAGTGCTCCGTTTCTGGACCTGGCGCAGGATATTCCGGGACTTCATGACGGATGTAAACAGCAATGCCCTAACTGGTGAGTAAAATTTTATTTATATTCGTTATTTAAGTATATATATGTATAATATATATAATATATACTATCGTAATAAAGATATGTATACATAATTGCGATTATTTGCTAACTCATAAGGGAATAACAGAGAATAGAGAAATGCATAAATAATTAAAATCCAATTCCATCAATTCCAAAAATGACAAAGTGTTTAAATAATTATTTACAGATTTATTGCGTATAGCGCACAAAATTAAAATAATAAAATGATATGTGAGAATAAATATGTATATATATACATATATATATATAAAATATAATAAAATTTATATTAATTACAACATATTAATTTTTGCAGGTACAGCTAAAGGTGTACTTAGCGAGGGCACAACGACTGGTGAGTGAACCCATTTATTACATTTGTATGTATTAATCAATAACAATAACAATATTATTCGCTATTTTTTATATGCTGCTATTTATTATATAATTATTAAAGGTTCCGCTTTGATCGTATTCTTGTTTATGGTGTACGGTTTTGCAAAAAGATAATAATAAATAATAAAATTAAAAATTTTCTTTTTATTTTGACAAGACAATTAATTGAAATTTTATATTTAGGGATCTCTATAATACCGAAATCTTAAGCGTGCATCGATCGCTTTTAACAAAAGTTTAAAATAAATTGCATTAAATAAAATAGTTTTTGTTATATTTTCTTTTTTTTTGTTCATGGATATGTATATAATAAATATTTATATAATATATTTTTTAAATGTAGAATAAAAAGCTCATAACATACTTTTATCGTAGATATAAATAAAATTTATATTTGCAATTGAAGGTAATTGTGCTGCGATATCATATGTTTCTTTCTTTATCTGCAAGATGCCGCTGCAGCATCATATAATAAAAAATTAAAAAATTGTTTAACATTTTAAAACAATTTCGAAATAATATAATACATTTTGAGGTTCATTTTTATTGTTTCTCTACAGTTCTCTGCTATAAAATGTAACGTCGTATTTAATTATTTTTTTAATTTGTTTGATAATGATGTATAATAAATTAGATTAAACCAATAAAAAATTAATAAAAATTAGTAGAAAATTAAGCCAATTTTTTGATAGTAATTTTTTAATGTGTGTATGGTACGCAAGAATCTTTAAAAGAATATCTAGTTTAATTATTTGAACAACTTTATTCATGTCAAAAGTCTAAAATTTATTAAAATTATTTATTAAAATTAGTTTTTTTGGCAATACATGCAATATCTAGAAATTTCAAGCTTTCGATCTGTAAATCGTTGAGAAAGAAATTTTGGTTCTGGACACTCATCGAGCGTTCAAAAATTTATCAAGGACTATTGTGAATTAACGAATATATATGGATATCTTGAAGAATAATTATGGATCATCTGAAGATGGCTTAATAATAAGCTGAAACATGTAATGGTTTTATAAACTTTAATTAAATTTCTTTGTATTTATGTGATATATTTATATTTAAGTATTTATTTGACTCTTATATGTCGTTTTTAATGTCGATTTAGTTTTTTAATGTTGAGTCCTCTGTCTATTTTTCATTATTACTTATTAAAATTATATTAAAAGGTAAGATCAATACGGAAGAAAAGGGAAAAGATGGGTGATTATAATAATTAGCAGCATAATATTTAATATACAGATTTTTTAATTTAGAAATTCTTGAAAGGAGACATTGATATGGATAATAATA